TATCTTCTATCTTATATATAAAGCTGAATGTCTGTTTGTATGTATGTCTGTCTGTCTGTCAGTCTGTCTGTATGTATGTCTGTACGTATGTTCCGAATAGAAAATTCCATTTCTGAACCGATCCGGACCAAACTTGGCACACATACACTACGGGCCCCGGCGGGTGTCATAGGCTACTTTTCGTCATCGATCGATATCGATTTTATCGATTTTTATCGATGTTCTTGCTGAGTTCACCTACGGGGCTGGGAGTTGGCACAGGGGGGTAATCGAGCATGGGGATTCCGAATACAATATTGGTTTCCAGGATTATCGATTACTTTTATCGATTTTATCGATTTTTTTTGCAAAGTTTGAGCTAGGGGGCTGGGAGTTGGCACAGGGGGGTATTCGAGCATGCTGATCATCCCCAAGGGGGGGGTGATCAGCATGCTCGATTACACCCCTGTGCCAAATTCCAGCCCCCTAGCTCAAATTTTCAAAAAATCGATAAAATCGATAAAAGTAATGGACGATCTTGAAAACTAATATTGTATTCGTAATCTGCATGCTCGATTACCCCCCTGTGCAAACTCCCAGCCCCGTAGGTCAAACTTTACAAAAAAAATCGATAAAATCGATAAAAGTAATGGACGATCCTGAAAACTAATATTGTGTTCGTAATCAGCATGCTCGATTACCCCCTGTGCAAAATCCCAGCCTCGCATGTCAAAATTTACAAAAAATCGATAAAATCAATAAAAGTAATCGATAATTCTGAAAACTAATATTGTATTTGGAATCCTCATGCTCACTTCCCCCCCCCCCTTGTGCCAACTCCTAGCCCTGTAGGTGAACTCTGCAAAAAAATCGATAAAAATCGGTAAAATCGACATCGATCGATAACGAAAAGTGGACTGTGACACCCGCCGGGGCCCGAAGTGTATGTGTGCCAAGTTTGGTCCGGATACGGCGGAGCCGGGTAAGCCAGCTAGTATGTAATAAAAGTCTGTCAGTAGATTTCTAATTCCACTATTTCTGCAGTGTATGAATTTTTAGGAAGCCAAGGATGAAGTGAAATTGGATGAAGAGATCAAAAATGAGGTTCAAGAAGAAACTCTCGAGTTCAATACGGTCGCGCATTGGAAACCATCAAGGAGAGGACCCGCTCTCCTTGATGGTTTCCAATGCGCGACCGTATTGAACTCGAGAGTTTCTTCTTGAACCTCATTTTTGATCTCTTCATCCAAGAGATGAAGAGATTCAAAAATGATGTTCAAGAAGAAACTCTCGAGTTCAATACGGTCGCGGATTGGAAACCATCAAGGAGAGGACCCGCTCTTCCTTCACCTTCAAAGCACAAAAGAAGGGTAAGAAGCTTTTCTTTCATGCTTTCGAAAGCAGAAAAGCAATTTTTGCAGCATGAACTGGAGGATACATCATCGTCCGGTTCAGAAGTTCGACGAAGAGGACGTTCACCTAAACGCTATCACCAGGGACATGTCAGCACGGTAGGTCTTACTGTTATGCTTTTTTCCAGAAATCTGTATTTGATTCTGTATTTTGTATTTTGTAATCCTGTTGCTTCGACTGCAAACGCGCTGCCTGTAACGAATACTTTTTCGGGTTTGTTGTGGCACAGTCAATTTTCTAATATGGAGAGAGGAACCACCTAAAAAGTGTCGGTTTTTAAAGGCAGTGAACGGCATCACAGCAGAAAATTCTTTGTCTTTATGAAATTAGGAAAACTTGTACGCCAATGCGAAATCAATCTTGAAAATAAGGTAACGGCACACCAATGCGAGTGACCACTGCGTTTTTTGTCGTTCAAGAACTGCTAGCGACAAAGATGAAAGAAGTGAATGCCATTAATCTACAGCAAATCAAAAATATGCAAAGCGCAATCGACCTACTCAGACAATCGATCGGACCCCTCCGGCGGACAGTCGAAATCTGCCAGAGTCGCGGCGGACCCAGTTGACCAATGAGAGCGGGGCGAGGGGGCGATTCCTTCTTGTAGGTCACGGTGACGTCACCGGCAGGCGAGTGGGACCCTTCTCCGGATCTGCTTAAAGGTACGCCATTTCTGCTCCGGAGGTACGCCAGATTTGGCAGAGCCGCGGCGGAGAGATTTGCCCGCCGCGAGTCCGCCAGATTTGGACGAGCCGCGGAGCAGAAAATCGGAGGGGTCCGGAGCAGAAAATGGCAGGGCTCCGGAGCACAAATGGGAGGGCCCCGGAGCACAAATGGGAGGGCCCCGGAGCACAAATGGGAAGGCCCCGGAGCACAAATGGGAGGGCTCCGGAGCAGGCTGCGTATCGATTTGGCGCGTAGCCAAGCAAACGTCTAACTCCACGGTGATGAGTCCTCTGTTTACGCTCTTTCTTCATATTTTAATCGTTGTTTCATTGATTTTGTTGTTTTTCCGCGTTTCTTTACCGTTTTTTTCCTTTCCGCGTTGCTCTTCGTCGCGTTGGCTTTTATGTTGTTGTAAGTTCCTCGTTTTCAGGTTTATGTTTCAAATATTCGTGCGGATGCACTCAATCACTTTCAGTGTTTGGCTCTTTTCGACTTGCTGAGACATCGTTGACTTTCGATGGAGTGTTTTTGTGATTGATTTGAGCTCGTTCCGAACATTATCTGTGGCTTTTCGGGCAGATGCATGCTAAGGAAAGCATTAGGGTTTCTAGGCAACTTTATGGCCCGTAGTAAAGCGTGATCAGTTGAGTTGAACTCAATTTATCCCATCAGTTCACTTTAGGTGAAGTGAACTGATCACCGTCCACGTTCCCATGCTATTAGATAGTCAAGTCAGCTGATAGTTGACCATCTGTCCACCTGCTGCAGTCAACTCTTCCACATCAGTTCACGTTCAAGTCACCTCAACGTGAACTGATGTTAGAGTAACGCAAATAGTGTGGAGAAGAGGAGACGCAGACAAGACTCCCGTAGGTTGCTCTTGAGTAACTTACGATACACATCAGTTAGGCAAAAAATGCAGACAAAATCGGCGCAAAACTGCACACTTTTCCTCGGCGGCGTGCTTGCGAAAATTTTAGGTCATTTGTGTTGTTTTCAAACGATTCCGTTCTACTCTTGTTTTTTTGTCATTCCCACTGTCTTCAGCAGAGAGTGTGTGCCACGCTTGTCGTATTTCGAGGAGGAGCGTTTTTGCCCCATAAATGCATTATTTCTTTCGAGTTGAAATGAATTTCATCCAATAGCTGATGCATGCCTTACAGTTGTTGTATGTAAATGGCTCTCATAATTTGACATCTAGACCCTTTTTTGAGGCTCAAGCATTTTGATTGTAAGCATCCTGCTACAGCAGCTGCACTCAATTCTAATTATAACTTTATTTTTCACTTTCCTAATTTGCATCAACTTGGACTCATTTCACTTGGTCACCCCATAATCACAGAGTATTCCATCTCCTCGTAGCTGATTTCTTTGAAAGCACATCTCGTCTTTTTGTTGATTTCAGCGTTGTTGTGTGCAGGTAAAAGAATGCATTATCCTCAATTCACTCCTCCTGCTAAGAGCCGTACTTGTATTTGCGAAACCATGAAGATTTTTCCAAATAGTACATTCAAGCAGATTTTCTGCTTAATATAGTGCCGCTGCAAACGCGACAACGCTTACGCGTCAACAATTGTCATTGCGAGTTTACACGTGTGTTTTTAGTGTTTTCTTGCTCATACTTTGCTTTTTTAGGGTAATTCTTGGCCGATAAAGGAGAAAAAGGTAACCTCGAGAGTATTTCCTGTTTTCCAAGAAGTTATTTCTCGCTTGTTCCCAAGTATCTACGTGGAATGCATCGTGTCACTATGATGTGTATTTTCTTGTAACTTAACCCCTTTTTCTCTTGCGAGGCATTTCTTCAAAGGTAAGTAGGTTCTTACGTCCGAATTTTCACTTTTAACACACGAACTACTGGACTGTTACCTACTTCCTTTAAGTGAGTCCCTAAATTGCTGCAGCGCAAGTCCGCTAGCGTTCAATGAGCTGTCATAAGGCTGAAAGAGGCACTAAATGACGAAAGAGAAAAGAAAGTGACAGAAAGTACACGTGAAACTGACACGACTACCTTCCAGGAAAACACTCGGGAATACGCGATGATGTAAATGCTCAGAAAACAGAAACTAGACTCTAACTTACCTTATTCTCCTTTATCAGCAAAGACTTAGCTAAAAAGCCAAGAATGGACAAAGATTGCAATGGAAAATTGTCACTCGAAGAGTCTTTTCCATGACATTAGTTGACGCGTAAGTGTTATCGCGTCTGCAGGGACAGTATATTGACCAGGAATTCTACTCGACTGTACTCATTCAAACTTCCGAGTATAGGCTTGATAGGTACCTCGCTACTTAGGTATGGACACCAACGAGCAGCGAAGGCAACGCTGCTTAGGCTGATCAGCGCTGGTCGGGTGCTTCTTGAGTGCTAGTTGAGTGCAAAAACCATCCACAATAAGTGCGCTTTCGCCAAGTTGTATGATGTCTAAAACGAGGAAATTAGCATTTTTTCAGCCGGAGTCTGAATAGCTTGAGCAGCGCTGCGCAGCGATGAAGACAGATAAAACCATATAGGATAGGACAGCACCATGATCAAACATGTCCAATCCAAAAAGGATAGTGACCCGTCAAACTTTGCCAAAAAAGCGCAAAAGTACCCAAAAAGACCAAAAAGCACATAGGGGTCAATAGGAGGCGAGACGCTGTTTTGTAGCTGATGAATGTTGACGTAATTTTGAGGTGCAGACCACAGAAAATGAAGCAAAAGGATTTCGTTGCGAAATTGGCATACTTGCCATAGCGCCGATACTTACTCGCGAAGAGGGCTTTGGCTCTTTCCTGCGCTTTTGGGCTTTTAAGGCGCTCTAGTTTTCTTCTGCGGGTATGACGGGTCCCATAAGGTTGACGTATAAAGAAATGTATTACCATCGCATTTAAAGAGGTGAGCATTACGAAAAGTGAAAGATCAGTGTGAACAGGAAAAAAATACTGAGATTATAAACATAACTAAGGACGTGATACCATGAAATTTCCTGTGCTTTTGATAACTTCATCACTCTGCTCAGAAACCTTGAAGCTCGGCTTATCATCACTGAAAAAGAAAATGCAGTGGTGTATATGATATATCAGGCATACTGACCGGAATCGCATGTTTCCATTCCGAATAAATCCATCCAAGAACATATTGATGCCTTCCCGTTCTCCTGATGGCAAAGTTACTACGCCGTACACTCCACGCACGCGGTATAGGCAGCAAATAAAATTAAAGAGATGATCCAAAACGACAAGATCGTGTTCCACAACGATCACGTATCTAAACAGACCTCATACATCAACCACTTAAACCATCTCAAAAGCAGACCCTCGGTAGAATTTCGATCTCCGGTTCTTCACACTTTCAAGCCTTCTAGCCATGAGGAATCCATATCTGGTGTTTTCAGCGCATGAAAATGGGAAAATTAACTTTTTTTTCGAACCTCATTTTTTTCTTTTTTTTCCTGGCTGACGCCAGCTTCTACACTGTCACTGAGAAGATTTGAATTTGCAGCTATTGTCCCGCCGAAAAGCCTTCTTGCATTGGTAAACCGATGAAGGAATGGACGAGATGGAGTTCACTGAAGCTGAGTCGAACATGAGCGATTTGGTCTCCGAATACCAACAATATCAAGAACCCACTGCTGACGAAGAAGGCGATCTCGACAGAACAGTTGAGAACGAGACTTATCAAGATCAGGAAGAATAAGAATGCTCGTAACATAATGCATCTCATCTCTATGACAGCTGTAGACACTGCGTATTATTTTTGCCAACGGTTCTTTTTGTCTAAGATGACTTTTGTTTTATTTCCTAATCAATGCTTGTTGTTATTCGTTTTTTGGGCTTCCCGATGAGTAGCAGACTTGGTCAACTGTTGAAGACTCTTGAAATATCCACAGTTTTGTAAAGTTATTTTAACTCACAAGTTATGAAGGAAGATCTGCTCATTTTTTATCAATTCAAAGGAGTGCGCAAGACTTCGTAAGTGAAGCTGAGGACTTGAGCTTCGACACGTCGACCGACGACATCCTTACTACTAACTTGTCACAATCTTACCTAGAGGAAGGACTGTGAGAATGTGTACTACTACCTAATACCTATCCGATCTTCTCATCTCTTGGTGCATCTTTCCATCTCGAGAATGCACTCAATAAATCTGTAGTGCAAAGTACTATTATCGCCATATATTTATTAGGAACAAAAAGCACAGCTTGGTACTATCTATCAGTAACAGAAGGACAAAACAAAAGTGACAACACAAAGAACAACGTACTATTCCTAACAACCTCAGAACTTTTGGAACAACGTAAATTCAAGAAAATGGCAAACAAACGGGGGCAATAAACGCGATTTACGCTCTGAGTAGAGAAAAGGAGAGACATCATCCCGATTTAAGTCTTCTCCATCCAAATTACGCAGAAGACTTTCAGCCATTGTCAAGTTCTCAAAATTACGACCTAACCGTTTCGCTTCCTGGAAACTCCATATTTAAAAAGTGTGACTGCAATTGATCATTTCTCCATACTTGTCGTCTTGATCCGCCATGCGCAGAGACTTGTATAAGAACATTAGCTTCTGGCAAGTCAAATGATGTGTCAGCAACCTAAATAGCAGACCATACTAGATGTCGACCGGTTCTATGCATTTATAAGCCAAACTTACCTTGGATACAAAAATTGTATTCACACGCGGATTGTACTGGAAGTTTTGCAAGATTTTGATACCTTCATTGTGACTTGTATCGCCGTATTTGATGAGTAACCGACAAATTGGGAATTTGTTGGGATTCATGAGAGCAAATTGTAATCCCCGAGCAATCTGAGCCCTGTAAATGATGTCATGAGTGAAGCTAAGGATATCGCGAAGCTCTCCCTTGAAGTTTAACACTATATTTAGTGAGAAAAGATGAGCTAAGGAACAAACCTTAAATAATAGTTCATCCAGTTCCTTCCAGTTGGCCTCATAGATCTTCGAACCTGAATAGAACATCTCTCGTACCCAAAGCTTCTCAGTTATGCTGACCGCACCTTACTATCAGGTTGAAACGGTGCGGCTTGAGATTAGGGTCCGAGACTTAGGCGGCCTAGCTGTATAGGCAGAAAGGAAGCGAAAAACTAGAAGCGCTTTAAATGATTGCCAATGGGAAACTGCGGAAATTCTAAAGCAGAGAATTCTACAGGAAAAATTACAAAATTACATTAACTAGATCAAAAAGCTGGATAATGAATAACAAAACATACCATCTAACAACAGGAGGCCCCATTCTTGGCTCTGAATAAACATCATTGCCTCTTCGGCTGCATAAGTGCGCTTGCCAGGATAGGCCAGCATTGAGTAAGTGCTTATGTAGACGACAGGCTGCAAAAATTCCACTGATTTGCTTTATAAGTAGATCTTTCATCATCGCTAGCTGCTAAGAACAACAACAGTGTGCTGAACAGATGCTGAAACAGAGTGTTTTCTCACAACTGCTAACCTTGAACTGAGCTCTCCACTGCTCGACAGACACATTGGAGTTAGCCAAACAGAGGCATCTCTTGTTAACAGTTGTGACCGTAGTTTCCCCAGCTAATGTCTTTCCTGCACCGCATGGCAAAACAATGACCCAGATCTGCAAAATTTAAGATTTCTCGAATGGTCACAGATCAGTGTATGGATATATAATAGATAGAAAGTTGAAAGACTAGCTGAAGCACGAGATAAACTACCTGGCTCGGCTGTCTCCAAACATTTTTCTGAGGCTCTTCTCCGGATATGGACGGAGCGTCGTCGAAGGTTTCAAGTCCATACCAAGGTTAGGATTCATAGTGTCATTTCCGAACTCGTATTCTGCCAGAAGTGGGTACTCCAACTCGATGCACCGCTTTTGTACGGTCTCAATGCTCTCCTGAAACAAGCTTATCCAAAATGTCAGACATAGTAGTTCAAATAATAACGAAAAAAAGGAGCAATGTTAGAATCACAAACCCGTGTCTCCTCTACCGGTTTTTCTTCCTCCAAAATACACCATTGGATATCTTTATCCTTCAGAAGCTTTTGAAAACGTCGGAATGACCAGACTCAACAAAGTACCGATTGTGTTTCAAGACAAGCTTCATCCTTTCCGTATCTCAGCGTGCACATCTACAATGACTTGTAAAGCTATCTTCAACAAGGAAATATTTCACAAATATTCAACCTCAGTATGTACAGAATCAAGGGATGCTCTACATACTTTGATAAACTCTATTATTCTTGGTGATAGGGCACTTTTGCTGAGCCTCTCCACATATTCTATGATATCATTTGTTTGCAATCCTACCGACACAGCTGCATATAAAGAGTAAACCGTAAGTTGGTCTGGCTAGAATAAACAACTGTAGTTGAAGAACAACATCGCATTAGCAGAAAGCGCTTACCTCTGATATCGCGATCAATAAATCTCGTTTGTGCTTATAAACTCGACTATACGACTCTAGATAGATCGGCCCATCTGGAGCGACTTATAGCGGGCGTGAGGCGTGGTCAGGGTGAATATAATTTTTCAGTCGGCGAAATTATCAGCAGACACTCTCTATGACACATTACAATGAGATCAGAGTATAGAAATCCAATCTGAATTCAAGCAAATAACAAATGAGGCACATATTAGGTCGGCACTCAAACAAACAAGTGAAAAAAAAATCAAACTGCTTAATTGAATACACCCAAGATGTATCAGTGGAACCCGAAAGTGGAAATCTAGAGCGAGGTATGATAGCATTCAAAAATTATAAATAATAGAAGTTTTGAAAAAAACCAAAGTCCTTACCCTAACGAGATTATTGAGACCTTGTCTGCTACCGATCGGAACAGTCATTACAGGAAAATGACAAAGACAAACCATCATAGTCGCTGTGATCAACCCATCATCTGCAACATAGCGTTGTCACGAAGAAACATAAAGGGTTGTCATCGCAACAAAGAGTGGACATGATTGCAGCCATCCCTTATCTACCAAAAGCGAAACTAAGAAAAAGCGGAAGAAAAGCGATATTTGCGCCTCCGCTCCCCATAGGCAATTCTCTCATGGAGTGTGCAATTCGTACTACAGAAATTGACCGGGTTGATCCATTGCAGATAAGCTTCTACGGTGTTTAGCTAAGACCTTGCCTCAACATGAAATAAAATGTTAGTTTCAAGCATTACGGGAAACAGAAGTAAGCAAGACAACATATAGTATGTTGCAACATGGCAGGAACATCACTGTAGCATGTTGCAACATGCGCAACATGGCAGCACACTACAGCATGTTGCAACATGCGCAACATGGCAGCAACATGATTGTAGCTTGCAACATAAGCAACATGGTTGCAGCATGACTGTAGCATGTTGCAACATACGCAACATGGTTGCAGCATGACTGTAGCATGTTGCAACATACGCAACGTGGCAGCAACATGACCGTAGCATGTTGCAACATACGCAACATGGTTGCAGCATGAGTGTAGCATGCTGCAACATGCGCAACATGGGTGCATGCAACATGACAATACTTTTTTGCTGGAGCAACATGCAGATGCAACATACAATTTGCTGCAATATGCATCACATGCTTTGTCACTTATGTCAAGCAGAAATATGTACAACATTTTGCCAACAGCAACGCGTTGCTGTTGCATGTTCTGTTGCCATACCTAGCATGCTGCGGACATGTTAGGTATACATGCTTCGCCTTCAACTGAAGAATGACTGCCGCGCACGGGGGTTTCTCAATGTTGTGTCCACATTAATTCCGAACTTGCAAAGACAGACGTCAGGAGCCGCCATCCCGTCCATCGCAACGATGACCAACCTTTACAAGTTTTCCGTGACGAATTCGCGGACGTGCTCGTTATCCGGAGGATGGGTCATCCAACCGCGGCGAATGGGCGACAGCGGCTGTCCTCTGTGCGTTCCCAGGTAGATGCCGATGTTGTAGAGAATGACGCAGGCCTTCACTACCTTCTGGAGCTTCGGAGGCTGAATGCGGGTGATGTTGTACAGTATGCCGAAACGCCGCTTCAGCGCTCCGAACGCCTGCTCGATGACTCGTCGAGCTTTGGCATGCTCCCTGTTGAACCTCCTCTTTCTGACGTCATTCTCTGTTGCCCGCTCCCGGAAAGGCGCCATCACACTCCTGGAGTTGGCAAAGCCGGCATCTCCCAGGAGTCGATATCCTGGGCGAGCACGACCTTCGTCGAACTCGGCAGCTGCTTGCGAATGCTGCCATATGAATGAGTCATGGTGCCTGCCCACGAATCCACAGTCGATGTACATGAAGCGGGCCCTGGCATCCACTACCGCAATCATATTGACTGCGCAACAAGCCTTTCGGCAGTAGTAGTGATTGTCGAAGTTGATAGGGCGCTGGATTCGGATGAGGCAGCCATCGACGCATCCAATGACATCTAAACAAAGCATTTTATATAAGTGTTGAAGAATTTCGTGAAGTTCTTACTTGTGAATCTCGAGATAGCGAATTCTCGAGACCTTCGCAAGCACCAGCGCTCGTCCGACGGCCAGAAGCGGAGGAAGCGGGCCTTTATTGTTGGATGGTTGAGAGCATCCACTACCCGGGTGACGACGTCACTCACAGCCTTCTGACACACCCCAAAACAGTCAGCTATAACAGTTTGATGACTGTTGGTGGCCAGGTAGCGGAGCGTGATGAGGACCTGAAGCGAACAAGAGAGTACCTATAGTGCACCTTCATGAAAAGATGTCCAAACCTGGTCCTCTTTGCTGATCTCCCAAGGCTCCAGCCCTGCATCCGGCAGCAGCGGTTCGAGCATCCTCACGATCTTTTTAACATCTTCTCTGCGAAACCTATACTTCGAGTAGAAGATGCGATCGTTCTGCTGGAACACAGAGGAGGGATGGAGGCGTTCATAACGGACGTTCCTCTGGCGCTGCTGACGGACGTTGAAAAAGAGCGAAGCCATCTAAACCAATTATTCAGATACTGAGTTAATTTTAGCTTTAGAAATTGACGACCACGGCAATAAACTTGTTGGAACATTTCTGTAGTGTGTGCTTGCAATAAGATCAAGTGCTGAAAACCCTGAACCTGGGCAAAACGATTTGTAGCACGCAGGACTCAAACTCGACACGCACAGCACAACAGGCACCGCTCTTCACCACTCTACCATTTGGGTTATCATCCAAGCCTTGCTTGGCGGCTACTTCAACGTTACGTAAGGACATACCCGTGCGTAGTTCGATGGTACGAGTAAGCACATTCATATGCTTACTCATACATCACCTACGCAGGTTTATACAATCACTACAAAACATTATAAAAAATTGAGAAAAATGAGTGAAAGAAAAGGAAGAAACAACAGATAAAGGCGCGGAAGAAAATCAGGCGCCATGTGCGGCTGTTAGACGGATGTGCCGGTCACTGCCGCAGAAAAATCAAATGTTTCGATAAAAATCAAATGTTTTTGCCTGCCGCAAAAACGTTTGCACTGCCCCAGAACTGAACCTCCAACCCCTCGAACACCAGCCAACCTCTTCGCCACTCCACCAAAGGACTCGGTTTTCTTTCGTCCATGACGGCTATTGGAGCGTATTACCTGCATGATAGGGTCTGGATTTTCCGATCAATGGGTTGCCGGATGCTGGACTGAGGCGCGATGAGCTCGCCCCCGGTCCGCGTCAAGTGAGATGCACTGATGGGGGGTTTACTACGGGCCTATATCTGATATCTACCGGACATAACATCTGATTAAGTCCTATGAGCCACTTATCGAATAGGGGTGCAATTCGATTACGATCTAACTCCAGAGGATTACAGTGTAAGTCAGTCACCCTGGGGATATGCGAAAGTTAAAAAGTTAGACGTACACTTCGAGTCAAAATCTCCTATTACAGACTTTTCTCCTGCTGTGCCACGCTGTGAGATTTTGGAGATGAGCATGAAGGAGTACGATTAGTATTTCAGATAGGTTTTGCAGTGGGGAGGGGTGGATCGTAGGTAAGACTAGCTACATGAATTTCCGAACAGGTGCGGCTTCACTCCTTAATTAGAGGCACTGGTGTCGTAATGTCGTTCTGCTCAACCGCAATGACGAAAGTTTCAAAACTTCAAGAATTAGCAGTTTCAAGAATTTTCTTGCAATTCTCAAAGCGACGCATCTTCATGCAGAATATTGCAAGTAAATCTCACCTGCATAGACTTCACGCAACTCATCACACTTTAGTTATATACAGTCGAGTAGATTTCCAGCTTAATATAGTGTGCTTGCACAGAAGGTGAAATGCGGTAAAACTTGCGCGTGAAAAAGTAGTCATGCCAGTACTGCCGACATTTTGCGCCCGCAATTGGCCGGCGTCTCAGTCGAAACTATCGTTTACGCGCAAATCTGCTTTTCACCTTCTGTGCAAGCACACTATATTGAGCGGGAAATCTACTCGACTGTAGTTGGGTGTCAGCATGATTGGCACGCAAAATTTACAGCCGGTTGTATGGCTCTAGCCATTGGAAGAACTTTTCAAATGGTCTTATTATGTGGATAACTGCCGGCAAGCACTTACAATTTCAGATGTCTGTCACATGCGGTTGTGAAGCCATATCTAGACACCTCTCGAACCATTGCATCTCTTCTCGGCTACATGTACTTTTTCAGGTGCGTCAAACTTTATTTCCTTCTACTCATTTTCTCAAAATCGGCCGCATGACCGATTTTGATACTAGCTCAGTCTTCCTATTCGCGCTATTACCCAGCTGTTGCAAGCTTATTTCTTTTTCGTACTCTCTGACAGAAAAAATTCTCAATTGTCTTTGACTTCTCATGTCAGATCATTTACTACAAAAAAAATTGGGAAATCCAACTCTCTGATCAACTTTGCAAATAGGCATTTTCTTGTTAGCAGCTTTTCGGGCTGCCTTGAAACTTCCTTTTACTACTAATTGTACGAATACTTCTCCGGATCGCGGAATGTGCGCTGAGAGTACGATCTCGCAGGAAACGCGTAACTTTACCTTGAACTTAACAGACACGCAAGCCAATTCCGATCTGAATATAAGTCGTTTGTCATTGGCTCCTACTTCTCCCACAAAATTCATGTATCCTATGACCCAAGCCTATTCTGAACTGTAAGATTTGATCGAATGTTGCAGC